CACAGATTTGTTCTTTTATACAGACAGCTCTCTCAAAAGACCTAGTTTGAGAGAAGAAATAAGAGGCAACAAAATGGTTTAACTTTCTCGCTTCTAATATAATATTTCGTCATTTCGTCTTCGTCAATTTGAATTGAAAACACAGAATCACTATTATCTAGGTTTTTCCTTATTTAAAATACATTAAAAATATCAGATATTGTTTTCTGGGAAGTTATAAATAAATCGTATTAACGCGAAAGATATAATATATGAACTTTACTAATATCATATTCTTTATTAAAGGAGCGCTCATATGAAAATCTCGAATTCTTTTAGTTTTTTTTTAATAAATGATTCGAAATTTATCGTACTAAAATTGAGATTTAACCAAAAACTGGCGACATCAAAATTTTTGTTTTTTATAGTAGCGAATTAACAGATAAAATTATATACAGCTTAGCACTGAATAATTAATCTAATACAAAAACCAACATAAACAATGCACAATTATAAATATAGATATTTTTTATCCAATAAACTATTTAGTAATGTAATGTAAGAATAAAATAATTTTTATGATAGTAATATGAAATTTAATTTGCTTTCTTTAATTTGTTAACTACATAGAACGATCAATCGATTTAGAAAATAGCAGCAAAGGTAATAATGATTATATAACACCATCTTAGAAGCGTTATTATTTCCAACCAAATTTGGAGAATTGCGATTATAAATGAACAGAAGACATATCATTTTCCTGAACGAATCGATTACCCTTTAAAACGTATTGAATTTTTTCGACATTTGATTTAATATTTTGGTCGTTATTGACCTGATCAACAGGTATTTTCTAAGATATGAGAAATTAATTTAAGAAACCTCTTATGTAATCAAATATCTTGTAGTTTTCAATTCAAGATACCTGTGTTGTCTCTTCATTATTAGATTTTCCATCTTGAGATAAAACTGTGTCTTCATCAGATTTATCTTTGTTAATTATTTCAGTTATATCCTGTTCTTTCGGTTGCAACTCTTCATCAACATCCTCTTCTTGACAATTAAAAACACAATAACTGAATCCTTCATTAAGTTCTATTTCCATCTCAAAAAATGTATTTGAATTCATACTCTTAGGAATAACTGAAAATGCATCAATACGTATACGATTTCCATTTATTGAAGTTTCTGTTTTACTGCATCTTGCGTAATAATTTTCGGGAACTTTATAGTCGTTTGGCATAATTTTCCAATTTACAAATGGATTATTTTCAGAATCAACTTTTATTCTTATCAAATGATAACGATCATATTCTGGAATTGTTGAATCGATAACAGTTATAGGGTCTGCAACCTTTGAAAATATTTGTTCATGTGAAATATTATACGTATAAGTTTTTTTTATTTTTTTTTATTTTAACTTTATTCAATTATATCAAGATTTTAATTCTAAATTTTTTTTTTTTTTTTAAATTGAAAGTTTCTTACTTCAAAATCAATTTTAGAAGAATACGTGTTTCCAATACAAAGTTTTCTCGCCTGTTTCTTTGGAGGTGGTGCGTTAACAATTGTTTTTTCTTGTTGTAAAGGTTTATTAATAATATCTTTATTATGTTGAATATATGGGTTATCCGGTGAAAAATTCATATTTAATACATTTATGTAACTTTATATCAAGCTAACATAAGTTCGGGTTAGTAAAAAAAAAAGCGTTAGAGACAAAAAAGAAGAATTCTGCGAGAACAATTTGTGATCTGCGATTTATTTATTCAAGTGATGAAAATAATATTGATATTGATTTAATTTACTTATATTAATTAATTAATACGTATATTAATGACATATACAGGAGATTAACTAGTAACGTGTAATTAATAAGCAAGGTAAACTTATTCAATAATTTATTTAAATATCTTTTTAAAAAAAAATTCGATTATTACAAAAGAAAAAATTATTGTAATGAGGTTTTATGAGATAATTGTGTAATTGCACACGTACTTTATATTAAATTAATCTTGGCTAATAGTTTGCTCGTACAACCAATCACAATTTATCAACAAATATAAACATATCAAATAAAGAATCTTGGTTAACTTGGCTATTGTTTAAATATCACATGAGACTTTCTCTTTACGCCATTATTATAAAATGATTCTAGAATCTTCGACTTGCAAAGTCGCGCAGTGAGACTCATAAGTTTATAAAAATTTCTTGAGTGTCATATGGGGCGCCATCAGTCAAAACGTCCCATAGTGAGATTATTAATATGTTACACAAAATGATAAAAAATCAGAACA